TTTGACTACTGGCCAATGTTGACTTAATTTATTTTTTTTGGTTGTGTTAACTGACCAAAATTAATGTTATAGTATTGATTGATCAACACAACATTAATGTATTCACTCATCAACAAAAATGATTTATAAATTAATAAAAAAAATTAACATCATTGGTAGTCAATTTCAACCCATGAACAATATAACTAGCACAAAAGAAAGTGACGAAAGCATGAAGTTCTTAGAAAGTTATAGAAATTATTACAAACTGTTTTGAAACCTGTTTATTGTAGTTAAGTTTTAGGATGTACATAGAACTTTCATGGAATAATATAGAGAGTTATTGACAACCGTATGATTACATCGATCACTACCATCCCCTAAAATTGAAAGTTGTATAAGTAATAGTATGATTTCATTTATAATTTATAAACCAATCAAACAAACTTTGATTTATTTCGAGAGAGTTAATTAGTTGTAGCTTCCCGGACATCTCCAATTAAAAGCCAACTGTGAAGATTGTATGAAGGGTTTTAAGTTTGAAGAATCGATTTTCCTTCCAATACTTGATCATGATATTGTATAGAATTGTGAGTACATTTTGTTCGTTTTGAACGATTATAAACTGCTCTAAAATTTGCAAGAACAATGGAAGGACTTCTCTATGAAGCAAAAGCGAGGGAGATGAAGGATATCATTAACCTTTGGAGGACCGCTGCAGCAGATACCAGATGAGGAGAACAATCGAGAGTTGTTACGATCGAACCAGAGGGTTTGGGGATTTTGGGGAAATTCTCTCTCGATCTATTCATGCAACATAAATGAATTACAAATTACCACTTAGCTGCTAACTGCTTCGGTTAGTTTAGCTATTTATACACAAAGAATGCCACGTGTCGGCACCTCATTGGAGAATTACTTAACTAATACAAAAAAAATAGAAAAACTGAATAATCGTGATAGGGAAGTGCGAGTTTATAAGTGAGGCCTGCGACTTTAATGTAACGACGCCGTTTTACTACTGCCAGCTCAACTGGTGGTTAAGGTCGTTACATACCCCCCATGAAGAACAACCATGCCCTCATGGTTGAAGTTGAGGAAAACGTTGGAGAATCTCTGCAGCATCTTCCCACGTGGCTTCGGCCTCCGGTAAGTGAGCCCATTGAACCAAGACTTGACCCACAGTGGTGTTATTAGGCTTCACCAATCTTCGCTCGAGAATTTTGACGGGAACCAGCAGATATTAGCCCGAAGCAGTCATCGGAGGAAACGTCGTAACCACCGGTGTGCCGGCTCCAACATGCTTCTTAAGAAGCGAGACGTGAAAGACCGGATGGACCTTAGCATCCGAGGGCAGTTGGAGCTCGTAAGCCACGGCTCCAAATACGGCGGACAACTGGAAAAGGCCCACAAAACATGGGAGTAAGTTTCCAAACTGGACTCCGGTGAAGACTAAGTTGTTTGTAGGGCTTCAATTTCAAATACACCAAACCGCCAACTGCAAACTCACGCTCGCTGCGATGCTTATCAGCTTGATTTTTCATTCGTTCGCGAGCTCGTTGCAACAGCTCCCGTAGCTACTGAGTGGTGATCCTTGAACCATTGGTCAACTCTTTCCGTTTTGGACTGCAAGAGTGGACCGTAGCCAAGCTGGGGTGGATCATAGCCATAAAGAGCTCGGAAATGAGACATATCAATGGCGGAATGATGACAGGTGTTGTACCAAAACTCCGCCAACGATAACCACGAACTCCATTGTTTGGGAAAATGACTACTCATGCACCTCAAATAGCATTCTAAGCATTGATTAACCCGTTCAGTCTGGCCATCCGTTTGAGGGTGATAAGCCGTGCTAAGTTGTAACTCAACCTTCAATGACCCAAAGAGCTCCTTCCAATAAGTACTGGTAAAAATTTTGTCTCTATCAGAGACTATGTAAGTGGGTAATCCATGAAGTTTGTAAATGGTGTCAATGAAGATTTGAGCTAATGATGAAGCACTGAATGGGTGGCTGAGGGCAATGAATTGACCATACTTTGTGAAACGGTCCACAATTACCCATATGACTTCTTTACCCTAGAAAGGGGAAGCTGATTAATAAAATGCATGGTAATATATGACCATGCTTGAGTGGGCACAGCTAGAGGCTGAAGCAACCCCGAGTTTTTAACAGTCTCATGCTTATTGAGCTGACAAACTGCACAAGAAGAGACTAACACCTTCACTTGCTCCTTAATGTGTGGCCACCGACACACCTTGACCACTCTTTGGAAAGTGTTGTGGATTCCAGAATGACCCCCCAAGCTGGAACTATGCATGTAAGATAAGATCTGTTTTCTGAAACCTGCAGTTTCTCCTACATACACCTTACCTCGGTACTTGAGCAAACCATCCAAATATTCAAATTCAGATACATCCCAAGGTCTTAACCTGAGGGCAGCAATAGCATCTTGAGCCAAGGGATCTCCTTCATAACTCTGCTGAACCTCAGTTAACCACATAGGTTGAAGCATAGTGATAACTTGAATGCAAGAGTCATGCTCCCTTCTGGAAAGAACATCAACAGCTGTATTTTCACTAGCCTTTTTATACTCAATCCTGTAACTAAACCCTAGCAGCTTGGCCAAATATTTGTGCTCCGAAGGGGTATAAATCTTCTGCTCCAGCAAATACTTCAAACTTTTTTGACTAGTTCTGATGAGGAAGGTATTGTGCAGCAAGTAATCCCTCTATTTCTGAACTGCAAGAAAAATTGCCAAAAAATCCTTTTCATAGACTGATAATCCCAAATTCTTTGGCCCTAATGCTTTGCTTAAGTAAGCCAGTGGGTGGCCATCTTGCATAAGATCAGCTCCCACTCCATAATAGCAAGCATCAGTCTCTACTATAAATTGTTTGTTAAAGTCAGGTAGATGTAGCACTGGAGTATTCACCATGGCCTCTTTTAAGGCTTTAAATGCTTGCTCAGCTATTGGAGACCATGCAAACTGTCCTTTCTTTAATAGGGTAGTCAGTGGTTTAGCAATGATCCCATAATGTCTCACAAACTTCCTATAGTATCCAGTGAGGCCAAGGAATCCTCTCAATTCCTTCACATTTTTTGGGATTGGCCAAGATTGTACACCTTCAATCTTACTGATGTTCACTCCTACTCATTCCCCAGAAATCACATGGCCCAAGTAATCTACTGAAGATTGACCAAAACTGCATTTTGAAGACTTGGCTAGGAGTTGCTGCTGTCTCAGTATACTGAGAGTGATCTTTAGATGTTGCACATGAGCTTCTATGGATTGGCTATAGATGAGGATGTCATCAAAGAATACCATTATGAACTCTCACAAATGAGCTCTAAAAATGTCAATCATGAGTGACAAAAAAGTAGCTGGAGCATTGGTGAGACCAAAAGGCATCACCTTGAACTCATAATGACCTGAGGTAGTGACAAATGCAGCCTTTGGTATGTCCTCCTCGACTCTAATCTGATGATAACCAGCTCTGAGGTCTATCTTTGAAAAAAAATTTGCTCCCTGCAACTCATCCAAAAGATCATCTATAAGAGGGATGGGGTAGCTATCCTTAACTGTGATAGCATTGAGTTTTCTGTAATCTACACAAAATCTCCATGTCCCATCTTTCTTTTTCACCAAAAGGACTAGAGAGGAGAAGGGGCTGTTACTTTGCTGAATGGTCTTGCTCTTCAGCATCTCCTCTACCATCTTCTCAATTTCCTTCATTTGGATGTAAGGATACCTATAAGAGGGTATTTTGAAAGCTTCCACACCAGGTTTTAAAATATTAGGATGCTCATGTCCTCTCTCAGGTGGTAAGGCAGTTGGTTCTTGGAAGATATCCTCATACTCATGCAGTAGAGGTTGTAGCTCTTCCTGTACTTGGGTAGTGGCATTTTGAGAGTCAGAACATGTCACCATGAATAGACAACTAATCATTACCTTTCCCCTTCTCAATAAGGAGTGGGCTTTCTGCTCAGTAATGACTTGGAGAGAAACTGTGGGCTGCCTCCCATACAAGGTAATAAGTTGTCCTTCTAAGTGCAATTCAATCTTCTGCTGAGTGTAGTGGAAAGTGATTGGTTCAAGATACTTGAGAAGGTCTACCCCAATTACCAGACCACACCCTCCTAGTTCAAGTAATCTGACATTAGCTTGAAATAAATGTGGTCCCACCCTCCACTGAAAGTGTTTACACCTTCCTTCACTGCTAATCTTCCTCCAATCAGCAAATAATATATTCATGGAATTTGATTTTTCCACCACACAGTTCAATTCCTTAGTTGTATTGGTGTCCAAGAAGGTGTGAGTGCTTTCAGTGTCAACTAAGATGGTGATAGGGTGATTATTAACTCTTCCTTGCAGTTTGATGGTGCTGGAAGTTTCTTGACCTGCTAGGGCATACACTGAGATCTTGTACAGCTCATTATCACTTTCCTCCACTGGTGAGTCTTCCTCCCCTTCTGGTTCCACTTCAATTTTACTATCCACTGCCACGATCATGAATACTCTTCTACACTTATGACCATTAGTGAACTTTTCATCACAGTTGAAACATAATCCCTTCATTCTTCTATCCTCCACCTCTTCACTAGACAATCTCTTTAAGGGAGGAAGTTTACCTTCCACTTGAGGTGTTGAGCTTCTGGTGTTGAACTCATTGCTTTCTTTTTCTCTAAAATTTGATTGGCTAATTGACTGAGGTTTGAAGCCATTTCTGTTTCTTCCATTTATCTCTACAGCCTTCTCTTGTAATTTGGCTGTGTACATGGCTTCCTTTAGATTTTTTGGTTTCATCATCTCCACCATTCCTTTGATTTCTTCCTTGAGTCCACTAATCAAACTCTTGATGAAATTC